GCGTTAACATTAACACCAGTGCTTTCAGGTTTTCCATAATGATCTCAACTATTGAAATTACTATAATATCCACAAAATCCCTTCTGATATGAAGCTTTATAAATGAGTATTAACAAAATACTTATGTTATTTCACTCAATACATATATACAACTTTTTTAGCTGACAAATTTGATAAATTACAGGTCAGCAAAGTTCACTAATCGATTTGATTATGCTGTCACCGGTGAATACATATATTTCACATTTATATATATATATATATATATATATATAAAATTATCTAGTAAATCTCTATGATCAGTGCTTTCAAATCCAGAAGTGACTGATAATAAAAGCAACATACAAACATCAAACTAAAAAGAGTATTCTTGAAGAAGTGGTTAGAATAGTTTGGTTCAAATAATTTTATTTAATAACATTTTACTCTTCATAACACAGAGCAATCAAAACCCTTAAAGTATGTAGTTTTTATGTGCTAATTTCCCAAACCTTTCAGTTGTTTTACAGCAAGACTACCTAATTGATTCTTATTATTATGAGAAATGATCTGTTATGATTGAACTTTTTTTTAAATAATCATATACATGAATAGTAGAGTCTTAACGTTTGCAGTTTCTTATATCCTGCATGTTGACAGAGGTTGGGAATTACAAATCTAGAACTCTAGGTTTATGACTAAATGGCTAGAAAGCTCCTCTAAATAGTAAAGCTTAAGTTATTTTTTCTTTATACTTATAATAAATGCGTGACTGTTAATAAGTCGTGAAGCGCAAAACATTATACCGTACAACTTGATTTCTATTATTCTCCCAGTTTATATTATCTTCTGAAGACAAAAACTTTTGAGATGTAATAGAAGTTCGTCCTTGGAAAGAAATAAAAATATTAGATGGATTGGAGTAACGAGGGAGTAGATTTTGAACTTAAGTATCATACAAGGTAACACTTGTTAAAGAAGCGTTCATATAGTCTTCGGGGGACTTCACTCAGTGTACCAATCGAACTCAATTCGTCCACTTTCACAGTTATGGAACTTGTTGTTGAACTATTAGGGGTAAGAATGACTTCGAAGAGGACTGAGATATTTACACTGACTGATAATTGAGTAGTGGCCATTAGTGTCGAGTGAATTCCACTGATTAATTCGCAATTTGGCGATTAGTCTAAGTGACTTTATATCTTGTACACCGTGCTTTAATGCTGGGTGGATGGAGGTATTTTGAAATTATAGTTCTGTAACGTACTGGGTAGTGTCAAGGATCTGCAAGTTGTTCATTCCAAATGATCTTAGTTATTGATCGTCTCAGTTTGTAGACTATGGCTGAATATATCAGAAACTAAGAAAATTAAGTACACAAATTTAAAACAATAAAACAGAACACTTATGTCAACATTTCAGCAGAAATCATGTGGTAACACTCTAAAGTAGAAAACTTAATTGGATCGGTTATCGCTCATAGAAAATTTGATAACCCTATAAGCACTAGCACTGAAGTTGAGATGAGTAGGACCTTGAAAACAAAAAAATCAGATATGGATTATTTCAAAGACATGAAAATCATCAAAAATTACTCAAATACCGGGACATGGAATATTTATTTTGTTCATACTAGCACGGCACAGATACACAAATTTTAATTGGGTTTTCTTAACTTATAACACTTATGACAAGGGTGTGATATCCATCTTTCTATCTAATTTAGTGTGCATTGTACTTTAATCTACCTCATAGTACTTTGTGTTAGAGAGGCATGATATTCGAAATTAAATTACAGGAGTTAGTTGTCTATATTTGTCATACATGTTTTTTAATCATTGTTCATGCTGAGGATAGAAGCTGGTAGATATGGCAAAATGGTTAGTTAATTGGTCGATACCAGTTTGCACACACTCAGCTACTACGTACTTTGACGGATTACATCAAACATTTGTTATTGGCTACCTACTGTCTAACTTGAAACTAATAAACTGGGACATTATTACAGTCTTTAGTGATTAGGACTCTTATTTTTTACACCTCATATTTGAACTTTGAACTTTTAGCAAAGCTAACCATTCGAATTGGTGAATTTGAGTTTGATTTTGTCAACACCGGAATTATTAACACTATGTTGGTCCCTTAATTTTATCTCTACCCTCAAATTTGTGTGGATATAGATTTGTTCTCTTTTAATATTTATCATTATTTCTATACTAGCTACTTACCCAGTAATTGGTAAACGTTAAAATTATTGAATTCCTTACTCCGTGGTAAGTTAACTAAACTGAAAATAGGATAATAAAATAAAGAGCGCTATTTCAAACTGAAACCATCTTTTTGCAACTACATATTTGTTCCCAGTAAGATGAACATCATCCTTCAACTTTCCTGACATTTGTTCACTTAAGGTCTCACAAAGTGACCATTCTGGAGGTAAGTATATTATTTTGCCTTATCGGCTGTGAAATCTGAGCAACAATCTTCTAGTGAAGGTAAACAGAACTTGATAAGCAAAACTACAAAATTTTTCTCATGGATAAAGTTTTTGTCTTTAAAAACAGAGAATTTATGAGGACATTTCTGAACAGTTCACGAGCCCAGTACCAAATACTTTTCGGCTGACAATCAACTTTCTTATTCGATAACCAATCGGTGGAACTCCCTACCTTAATACGTTGTTGAAGGGCCATCTATCGAGGCGTTCAAATGAACGTTAGATTCTTGATGAAAACAGCAGTTTGCTTCAAAAGGTTTATTGTTGGTAACTGCCATTTTCCCAGAAAAAAGCTCGCAACGAGGGCTTAGAAGACAAGAGGGACTTCACAGCTGATGATCAGCAGTTACTATTGGCTGAAATCGGTGTATCAGAGATTGACAATACTACCCGTTTAAAACACAAAGGCTTAATTGTCGCTGTTTTATCCTTAATTGAGTGAAATACGCAATTAACCTGTTGAGAGACAATTTTCTTCCAAAGTCCCGTTAAAATTTAGAAATTTGTTTGGAGGCTTGTTTCTTATTTGTCGTTAGTTACGTTTGGATCGACTATACAGTTTTCGGAAGAGTTGAGAAGCAGAACACGGCTCAGTGTAAAAATTTCTATGTTATTGTTATCGTTTACCATGTCATTATCTACAATACCATCTTAAGTACATATTTATCGCTAATTATGCTGATTTATACAAATCTTACTTTTACAATCGCTTGTGTTTTTCATCCAATTTGCTTTGTAAATCTGGTGGTTCTCTAAGTATCTTTTGGGAGAGAAATACGATTAGAATTTATGTCTTTTTCTTCAAAATAATGGGACGAGTTTTGATTTTTTTGAAGAATGCTATTCAGTTAGCGACGAAGCACATACTTTAATAGTCAAACGTTTGACTTTTTTAGCCTTATTTGTTTGTTAACCATGTAAGCAAACAATACTTATATAATTAAGAGAAGTAATCTCGAAGAATATTTTCATACTTTGATACAGAAATACAAGGCTTTTACATCGAGTGACAGAGTTCTTTTGCTTAAGTAAAGAAGACTAGTTCAGAAGTCTTTTGTAGTCTCCTCGTGAATTGACTACAAATGTATGGCTGCAATGTAAACACGTAACATATAACTTGTACGAAGTAAACAAGTAGCATCATCACTCTTGGAAAAAACGACAAAATTCAAAGATCAGATTAGAAAAACGATGCATATGCCAAGATATGTAAATATCTGAACATTTTCTAGATGATCCACGTACTATTGTTCTGTTAAAAAAGAGTGGTGGAAGTGGCGGGTGAAGGTCAAAGGAAAATGTTCTTGAGTGCTCTTAGAATTATGAGGGCGGTGATCACTTCCCAGTTGCCCACACTGTGGAAGGGTTCTTCTGGTGGTACCTAAAAAGAAAATTGGATTAAGGATGATATAAGTGACCTGAGGTCGTGATCGCAATGCCTAAGGGACAACTGCTTGAAGCCAACCACACACAACCTTTTTGTAGGAAGTTTTCGTGTTAGCTCCGTACTTGTTGAGACCTTATCACCGGAGACAGATATCCGTAGGATAAGGCAAGATGGGCATTTTTAGGATCGATCTTTTCTAATCCCACCCCTCCTTGTCGAAAGGCAGCATCCTTGCTGTTTGTTGTCTGAAGAAAACACCATACTGACGTCACACGTCTGTGCAATCAGCAGTACGACTTCGCCTTCGACCTTTTAGTTTTACCGCCCTTCAACCGACCTGTCTGGCATGGTGGGACCTTGAAGAACGATTGTTCCAGCCAGTTTGGCTCAATTGGTTCATCACGATAGGCAAGCCAGACCACCACGTTAAGGTAGCAACAACAGTATAAAGTTTTAAAGCAATGTACCAATAAATATAAAGCCCTCAGTTTTGTATAACTTGGAGGAAACATTATGTAGCAGCCATCGACAGTTAACTTGCACGGTTCTATATATGCTTATTCTTAAAGTCTGCTTCTATGCCTCGTACCGTTTTGGAGAGTTTTTATTACGAGATGTTTAGAGAAATATATTTTCTGGACTGTAAGTTAAAAAACAACATTATAGTATACTATAGTTTTAGTCATTACTTTTGATTCGGACCGGTTTTAGTCGGACGTAATGTAGTTGTTAAATGAATATAACTCCATTGTATCTCGACAACTGTGGGTTGTTTCCTGCAATAATACTTATAAAAAACCTCTTAATTATCGTTTATTCCCTATTATTAATATTTGTGAGTTTCCAGATACTAGCACTCCTCACGGTGATATGGTTTGTTTTGATAATAAAAATTTAAACATCGGCAAAAACCCATTTCCAGTTCTCGTAAACACTTAATTAGATAGCCTGGTCTTCCATTCCTCACCCACAAAAAGATTATTTTAAATCTTTCAAAGGTCAACCAAATGATAATTTATGTAAGTCCCTAAAACGTCGCATTCGATCGCGGGTTCTAAGTTTTACATTGATAAAGAGGGTCATACATGTGTATGGGTTAAAAACCTCTTGTTTGCAGAAATAAGCCACAAATGACTGTTTTGGTTTTGAAGGAAAGAAATTTATTTACCAGCAGTGTTACATAAAATAAATTTGAAAACAGAATTAAGATCACACAAAATGCAAATAGAAGATGTAAAAAACAAATAAGAAATCCATCCCATAAGCTATTTTACAAGTGCCAAAATGAAGAATAACTGTTTTTTTAATTTAATAAACAATTCAGACATTTAAATCCTACGTTATTTAATGTTATACATGTTTGAGATGATATGCATATATAACTTTCGTAACAGAATAGATAATCTGTGAAGAAGGCAAGAGGTTTTGAACGAGGCCACAACAGTACATAAACAAAATGGATTTGAAACTTTTGTAGGATGCATGCGGTTATTTACATAGGCTAATAAAATATATTTTGGATATTGTATTTGACTTGGAGAATTTTCCATGATGGTAGCTAATTAATTAATATGATAATAGACAAGGAACCACCGGGAAATTTAAGAAGTTTTGAGGAAGTCCAACGCATTAGTACGCTTTTTAGTCACCATAGCTGCCTGTTTGTGTTCTGCAAGTGTCAGTGGCATATTCATAATCTTTTGAATAATTTCTAACCATTTTTCCTGTTCTTCTTTTTTGTCAGCAACAAATACGAAAGGACGTGCTGACGTGTGAATAGTTAATGGGTACCCATTATGACGGTTCCAACCATCGGGAGTGGTATTTGTTACAGAGTAGCCTTCTTTGTTGGAACCAATAAATAACTCTCCTTTGGCGAATGGGCTTAATGGGTTATCGGTATATAAGAAATGACGATTCAAAATCATGCACCACCGGCGACGCCAGGCATCGTTCTTGCGTGGTCCCGTTTTAGAGAGCCAACCAGCCATATCAACGTCTCTAGTTAGCCTTTTACTCAGTTCAGCTGGTGACAGTGTGACACCCATACCACTGAGACCAAGGCATAGACGGTGATACTTACCTAAACGTATTGCATTGTACCAATTGATTATGGTTCTACTATCTTCGGATCGTATAAACATGTGTCTTGTTGAGCAGTCTTGAACGAACTGAATGAGTGCAGTATGCGGTGGGAGACCATAATCCTTAGATGGGATGAATGTAAAATTAAGTCTTTCTAGATCCAGTGATTGTTTAGGTTGTGAATCGGACGGTTTAATGTAATAACGGAAGTAATTGCCTTCAACGGACAGTTCAAAAAAGCGCTCACAAAATGTAGTGGAGTCACGCAACTTTTTCAATAGTACACCTGACTTAAAAGAACACGCAAATTGACTTTGAGCCCCTCTTGCTATAGCATCGCTGGTAAACTCTTCATGAATGTATTTTGATTTTATGAACGCCTCTCTTAAAAAAATAGGACATTCAACACCGGGCCATGGACGACGGAAATACACTGGTAGTGATGCTTCTAGATTTTGGTTAATAGCTTTGTTCCCTCCAAACTTCTTCAAACGCGACACATTATCATCTGACCAAATAAGACTATTTTCTTCATCTGTAGAAATCCGTTTTATGTTTCCATTCAGTGTTTGGTGCGAAACTAGACAGAATAATGACAAATTACCACCAATTATATTCAATGAGACTCACCACCACATAGTTCACAAAGAAAAACTCCATAAGATAAAGAGGCATATTTAGTTACAGCATGATGGCAGTCAGCACAGATTTTGTTGCATGGAGAATCTATTTGTTCACGCAGGTTTTTTATGTGTTCATCACAGTTACTCATGTTAATACTTAAATGAACGCGCGTTTTCAGTATCCAATGTCCCAATTGAAAAATTGGTTTGTCGTAGACTAAGCCTTTAGGTAGACACTTAAATACACAGTGATTAGCTTTGATATAGAGATAGATGTTTCGTAAATTATCATGCGAGGCAAGTGATATACTTTACAAAACATAAAGCTTAGTCTTTAGGAATTCCAAAATTACTGTTTGTACTACTCAAGTGGGTGACGAATAACGGAAGTAGAAGTTAAAAATGTCAACCGATCAGTTGATTTCACAGGTTTGCCTCAAATGCAAGGGTATCTGCCCTGTGATGTTCTATGCTTTCTAACTTTCAGAATAACATGTTGAGATGTATCTAGGGTGTAATATAGTGATATATAAGTCCTTCTCAGTGGCGATAACTGTGATGCTGCAGTTACTTGAGGGTAATTGGTGTACCTGTCACTATATCTTACCACTGAAATGCCCGGTGTTTGGAAGAGGCAAGATTCTGTTCATATCAAGAAATACAGTATATTCGAATCCTTAATGCTGGAGGAGAAGAGGCAAATCATAGAATAAATTGCTCTGGGAGTTGTAGCAATCGATGTTAAGAATGAATAGAACCCGGAAACATCTGGAAAGAAGAATGGAAGACAGAGTGGGTCGTTGATTGCCTGTCGGTGGTTTATGTCCCATAAGGGTAAACCGCGAAGGTGAATAGCTTGATTAAATCCAATATCCGTACATTATTGTCATTTTCAAATATTGAATTTCAACCGAAACTAGATCCCTTTTATACATATTAATTTTCTGTAGTTTGACTTTATCTTCATATCTCAAACATGAAAATGAGCCTTTATTCCGGTTCACTATTGAACAAAAATGTATGAGCAGAGATCAAATATGCCTGTTTACTTAATTCTACCTGAGATGATTTTTAGGATCACAATGACTAACTGTATTTACGCTGGTAAAGATAACGTGAGTGTACCCTCAGAACCCGTTTAGGATAATTCCTTAAAATGTTTATTTGCCGGTATAGCATCAAATAACCTTTGCAAACCAAGAAACGAACAGTGAACAAGCAATTAGTTACCGTAATTGTCTTTGGATTATTTGTCGTGGACTGAGATTTCGCGACACATGTCCAACTTTCCTGAAATTTCGGGAAAACTTCAAATGGAAGATCTGAATCGACCTAAAAGGCAGCTTTTTGAACCTTATTGTTCATGTGTAGCTGGTGACCGGAAAATACATGTTCTCAACTTTGGGAAAAATCACTGTGCTGACTTCTATGTAGCTTATACTAGAACTATTATGTATTGCTTTTAAACCATTTTATTTGTGCTTTATCTGTTGGCCTAGTTATCTAAAACTTTGAATTTCACACTTTGACCAGTGTAATGAGATCATTATTCGTCCAACCAACAGTCTCCATTCATTTGAAATGAGCAGAATTAGTGTGACCGTAGAATTATGGTCTATTTCTGTATTAATGGTACTATAATAATAGACCTAATCCTAACATTGTAAAATTTACCTAATCTATAAGATCTTAAGTAAAAGTCGTACCATAATCTACCCTCATTCATCCCATCGTATCCACCAGCAATATAATATTTAGCTATTCTAAAGAACGTCCCTGAGCTGGAGCTAAAATTTTACATTTAATGCGAATAGGGACAAGACTAGGCCATTCCACTTTCACAATTGTTCACGCGTTCACCGTTACTGACCTCCAAGTGATACGTTTTGAATATCAACCTTCTCAGTAATTATATGTTCAGCTTCGAGAATCATATGGTTAGGGACCAATCGCACTACATAAATGCCTAGTCTACGTAACCCATCATTGGAATGTCGGGATTTAATAGCCAACTAGCTTGATACAAGCTAACCTTGTGGCCAGCCCATTTGGCTTCCCGAGCACCCTTAAAAAAGCGACAGAAGCCTATGGGGGTAATATTACTTATTTAGTAAAAAAGAATGAAAAAATAAATAGTTCGATTATGCTACTTCACTGGCAGTCAATGTTTTCGACTTGTCAACCTTCGTTAGTCATCCTTCATCTTCATGAATTATGGTGGACTATTCGACGTTCAGGGATCAATCCCTAACATCTGGACGGTCCGGCTTTAACAATGACTTGGCTGAGTCACGATGACATTTCAATGGCTCTGTAATATTATTCTACGGTATTATAACAGAAACAGAATGAAGAAAAATAGTATTTTAACTCACTCGCTAGCTTGAAGATGCCACAGGTATTCGAAGTTTGACAACGCTTTAACCAGTAACACCTAATATGAATCGTACCAACCAAGAGAAATCGAAAGGCAGAAGCGAGGAGGTTCGAAGATATATTTGATAGGCTTTTAATATATAGAGAATCGTCCGATGTTATCTGGCTAGTGATTGCAAGGGATGTTGAGCACGGCGTTCCTACTCGTGATCTGGTGCGGATGCTTTAGCGAGCGCCTTCAGTTAGTTGGATCCATTAAGACTAATGTGGTCAGTATCCAATGTCGAAAACTTACAGAGCTGTCTATTTTGAGGATTTATTTACCGCTATAAGCTTAAATATTTTTACATTCTCAATAAATACTCATTTCATAAGGTACTCATAATATGTATCCCACTTAAACACTACTGAAAACCTCCTTCTGTTACAAACTGACGACTTGTTGTTATTTCTATCATTGTCTTTGTTGAAAATTATGGTCTTAGTTAGATATCCCTCTGGACTTGTATTCGGTCACCTAAGTATTGTGCACAAGGCCGAAAAAGTCTGATTAGGTATATTTTATATGGAACTACGTAGCTAATTTAAACTCTTAATCCTAGTGTACATTGGCCCTGGCCTAGGTCGATAAATGTAACTGGACACTGACTTTAATCTCGTCACATCGAAGAAAACATTTATCTTTACTCTAAAGGGAGTCGTTCAGGTATCTTAGGAGACGGTGTCCTATTCGTTATCATCATAATTGGTGAATGAGGATAAATGAAAGAAGTAAAATCTAGAATATATTTGTTCTTGAGTAAATATTTTAGTAGTTGAATTCACTGGCATGTACAGTAGTAATAAATAATAAGAAGCAACTAGCTAGGAGGAACAAAACTGGACTAGGAAAATAGTAGTATTATTTTAACACCAGATTTAGACCTCTCTAACTGAATTGGATTGATACTGACACTACCAATCAAAATCAGCAGGAATCGTATTATAGTGGAATAAATCCAGGAATGAATTAGACTGGTTAAATCTGTATTGTATTTGAAATGAATACAAACTGTTCAAAATGCCAACTAATCTACGCATCTCAATTATTTACGGAGAAACGGAATAACAGTACGTGATGAACAATAAGATATATAAACAGACAAATAGACAAAGAACTATTGGGAAGATTCACATATGTGGCATTTGAATTAATCACACAACTGAGCACAAGTTAATCAATAAAGTTGAACTAATTCATTTGACAGTCACATGTTCAGTTAAATATTGTATTACAAAATGAATGTACAGTTATGCTCATTTAACGTATCTGTATTAAATCCCATAACCAAACGATGAGAAAGAGACTCAATTTGAGTACAAGCCTAGGCTATTTTCCGCAAATTGAGTTTGAAACTGCGAACAACCCTCATTATATTGTCATGATCAGTGTAACAGTAATATAAACAGGTGGGAGTACACCCTCTTAAACTCTATTTTGTATATCATAAGCGTCTGTCTGGTGTTTAAAATATCTACGTATGTAATTACAGATTAGATCTTTAGTTCCGCATGATATGATACAATGACGTGTAAGGAATTTCGCCTGATCAGTTGAATAGAAATAGTGAGAAAAAATGAAAGAAAGTCTTACATTTTCACGTCTCTTTCAGTATAAGCAAGACTACTGCGTAGTGATAACGCTAGCTGGATATTCAATACACTGAAGCTTTAACCCAACATGAGAATTGAAGTAAATATCGTAGATATCTGGCTTGGCCTCTAACTCTCAGTTCGATGGTATTTTGAATTGCTTCAATGAGATGAAAGTGACATTAATGTATTCCTTCTCTTAGTATTGTAGGAAATGAATGTAAGCAATAATATGGGAAACACTTATCCAAAACTCTTAATTTAATCATGTGATTCACACTTTGAAAACGAATCTCTCATGATGATGTTCTGTGTGCTTCATTTATTGTTGTCCAATATTTAACAGCATATCTGTCACTCGGTTTCCAACCTTAACTAGCTCACAACAAACAATGAAGAATGTGTTACATGTGATTCTATTTAGCTGAGAGAATGTAGGACAATTAACAAAAGTAATAGGGTAGATATCATTGTCAAATGCTTACAAGCTATTTGTTCTGAGGGATTATTTACTGTTACACGTTAACTAGCACACCGAAATAAAAAATTTTGTGAACTTCCATTATTTCATGTTGATATCGTTATTGATACTGGTTTTTACTAATTGGCAAAAAGTGGTCAAATATTAGAGATATTCTTATATTCCAATTTATGAATGTCATTCCTGAACACGCCTGGTGTTTAGGTAGATAAGTAATCCCAACCTACTCTTATACTTCTAAAGAAATAACTGTTTCCATCTATTTTCTTCTTGATTCGTGATCTACTTAACTTACAATTTGAGATAGAATCTTGTTACCAAGATTTCGTTTTACTTCCTAACGGAGTGCCAATGTTCACGCATAATTTACCTTTAGAAAGATAATAATTTTTCACATTGGCACGCAAGTGACACAGGCGAAAATAAGTTTGTTTGTTGCTAAATAGTAGTGGAATATTTCCAAAACATTTCTTCAAAACGTAAAGCCAATATAAGCTGCAAATAATGGTCATATAAGTTTAGGAATCCTATTAAAGTCAAACTATAAGGGCAATCTTGGATAACTGTTGAAATGACCCTGACAAATTCTTGAAACATGGGACGAATCAAAGAACAGAAAATGTGAACTATCAACTTAAGGTAAAACTATAGAGTTTAGGATTTAAAGTTACACTTACGATTGTGGTTTAATGTTACGGTCCAGGATTAAGAGGTAA